AATATTAATAATGTTTTCTGTTGCTCATTAATTCAAGTCAAAGAGTTTATTTAGTGAAAGCTGATTTCAGGATGTAATGTGTGTACATGTTAACTGCCTGTGGTCGTACCTGTAAACTGGTTGACTGGCTGCTGTGGGAAAGGGTTCTGATTGGCCGGTTGACCCGGCTGGTCCTGGTACTGTGGTGGCGGTCGAGTCAGGCGCCTCTGAAGCTGCTGGTCCTGCTGCCGCTGCTTCTCCTGCACAGACGGGGGTCAGACGCGTTACACTTTTTTCTGGTCAATTGTTTCCACAACGTTTGAACTCACGCAAAAGTCCAAGTAAAGTTTATCTTAAAAACATTTTAACTTCTTATCAAATTCCCAAAATGATCATTTGTGAGGGAACAGTTTGTATAATCACGATCTGAAACTAGTCACAGTTTCTCTCTGGGACTCGAACGCTCGGCCCTCACCAAAGTGACTCTACACTGTTGTGTGGTGCACACTCTCTGTAAAGGGAAGGACAAGGGAAGTTTAAAATGTTGGTTCAGTTGATCTCAGGGATCTTTAAGAAGAAAACCTGAGTTATCTTAACAAGATGATAACCAGCGTCATGTGACCACTGAGCCTGACTGTGATTGTTAGGTTAAGTTCAGCTGGATAACGGGAAGATATCCTGGATATGCTGAACTCGCTCGATAGTACAGCCCCAGGACTTAGAGGAGGGCACGATGGCTCAGTGCACCAGAGGACAACGACATGGAGACATGGAACACACAGGTGTAACTCACCTGTTCAGCCATGAGCTGCTGTCTCTGCATGTACTGCTGCTGCTTCTGCTGCTGCTCCAGGATCTGCTGCTGATGCTGCTGCTGCTGTTGTTGTTTCAGAACCGCAGCCACCGCCGCCTGGTTGCTCAGGTACGCCGCGTTAGCATGGTTACCTGCCATGGCGTTTGCCCCTGGCTGGGTGGCCATGCCGTTGTTTCCCGGCGCAGGTGCCATGGTGTTGGCCGGGCCTGGGCCGTGAGGAGGAGCAGGGTAGTTGTTCTGCTCCTGAGAGACATGAAGATTTTATTATTTACAGCCGTCAAGAGATTTTATGAGTAAAGAGACGGACCAGACACCAGGTTCAACCACAACATCACGTCTAACATTGATTTATTACAAATTGAATGTAGATGAAAGTAAATTCTTGATGGATGAATTTTCAGCCACATCACACGTTTACGATCTGCTCACAGATTCAGGTCAGGGTCATTTTTACGTCTGTTTGCTGCAGAGGACAAATTTACTTCTTTTCACTTTTCATAAATACACATTTGTAACTTTTTATTTAAAGGTTTCTAAAAATTTATTTTAGAAATAATGTAATTTAAAATGTTTCCAGGAAAATTGATGAAATTCAGCTTGTTCTGTAAACATTTAGTATGAAACTGTTCATTTGACTTCACTGAAAGTCTACAGTCCTTGTGGCGCCCCCTAGAGGATGAAGTTTGGTGTTACAGCCACAAAACGAAAGAGCAAACAACAAACTGTGAAGAAAACGTCAGAAGGTGAAAATGTTTGTCCTGATGGTGCAACGAGAGCGAGACGGTGGCAGCAGCTCTAACACCCTTGAACTCAGCAGATTGAATGAAGAGTTGTGATAATGGAGAGAGAAGCTGGAACAGAGCGTCTCGTCTACTGAGGAAAAATACAAGCAGGAGCAGCTATATTTAAATACAGAGAGAGGGAGAATATGAAAGGCTGCTTTGTCATCGCCTCCCTTCACCCCCCCCGTGTGAGCCTTAGCAACCAGCTGCTTGACCCAAAGAGAGAGAGAGAGAGACACACACAAGTGTGGGGCCCTGGCCTGGACAAAAGGCCTCCCTGCTGCAGCCTGACTTCATCGGCTACATCCTCACGACTACGTTTTCATTTTAAAACCCATCAACTGTGCGACAGAGTTCTGGAGCCTCTAAAAGCCCCTGGAAACGCTGCTGGTCCCGTTTTAGTTTGAAAACTCCGAGGATGAGTTTGAGTCTGGAAACTGAGATGTTTGGAAACAATGACGTAGACGCTCAGAATCACTTGCTGATTGACTCACTCAGGTCATAAAGTAGCCTTCACTGATACCAGAGTAGAAACAACATGGAGAATCAATTACAAGTGTTGCTGACCCTGTTGTCTTCGCTCACAGCTGCTGTTCAGTTAATCTCTGCATTTAACAATGATGCAACTGTTTACATGTGGAGGAGACCAGGCGTTATTCTGGCTGTTTACAGACACGTGCATGTCCAGTACATGAGCGGTCACATGACACGGGGCCAGAACACCAGAGATCGTTTTAGTTAGAAAAACACTGTTTTCAAACTGAAACGTATTCATGTGGATGTAGCCTTAAAATGTTTTGGACAAGTTCTGTCACTTTTTATTCTAAATTAAATTGTCAGT